AGACAGAGGTTTGGACTAGGACCTTTGGAAACCAGGGGTCAAATCCCTGCCCAGCCATAGAAACCAACTGGGTGACTATAGGGAAGTTGCACTCTCTCGGCCTCAGAGCAAGAGAAAGGCAAACTCCCCTCTGTAACAAATTTTGCCAAGAAAACCCCATGATAGGTTTGTTTTACGAACACCATAAGTTGAAAACGACTTGAAGATACCCAACAACTACTGTGTATAGCTTGGACAAGTGATTTCTTTGAACCACAGCTCCCACAACTAGTAAGGTCAGTGGCCCTGTTGGCTGGGGATTTCTGGGATTTATAGTCTATATTATAACTTTCAAAGCTCTAGATAGAGTTGCAGTGGAAGAGTATCTCTTGGGATTTTTTTTTCTTTTTCTTTTTGGAGAACTAAACTATCCTTTTGATTTGTGTTGAGTAATCAAGTTATGGCCCAAAATACCCTAAAGTATGAGAGCCTCACTGATTTTGGAAATTAAGCAGCGGTCAGCCCTGGTTAGTACAGTCAACACTCAACTTAATGGGGTTTAGGGGTGCAGGATCTCCATACAAGTGGAAAAACAGTGAATATAGGAAGCTTTTTTTTTTTTAACCGAAGGGAACACTCCTCTAGGATTTCTAAGTGCTCCAGTGCAGATCTGTGTCCACCTTCTTCCAGAAGTTGTAGTGAACAAAGTTGAAGTTTGGAAGTTGACCAAAGAATTGCGCTGGAGGACCTAGAAATGCCTAGGGAGAATGTATTTTTTCAGTTGCGTATAAAGTAGCAGCAGAGGAGGTGACAATAATAGTAATCTATGAATAATCAAATCAACAAATGCTTAACCTGCAAATGCAAAGGGACAACTGTATTTGAATGGGAGACCTCCAGCAAATACCAGGTGCTGTAGGCTATATTTCAGAGGCAGGAACTGACAAAACTACCTCTGGGTATTTCTTGCCTAAGAAAACCCTATGAAATTCATGCAATCACCATAAGTCAATAGGTGAATTGAAGGTGCTCTCACACACACTCCTTTTCCACTCAGGTTAAAAACAGGCACATTTTTAGACCAATTGGGGCAGTTTTAAAGAATCCTTGCTGCATTTAGGACAGATGCACCCTTTTTCCTTTTATGGTGTAAGCTCTGAAAAACCAGTTTTGCATGGGGTTGGTTTGAACCTGAGAAAATCAGGTTTGGAAAATCAGCTGGCTAATGCACAGAATGGCACCACCCAGTAATTCCCCAGAGCCGCTTTTGCATATATATTTTTTAAATTCAGGAGGTAGGAGGTATCTTTTTTTAAAAGAACTATTTTATTTTAGAAATGTAAGGTAAGGTTGGCCCTCTGTATCCACAGATTTTTTTTTTTAATCCATGGATTCAAGCATCCATGGCTTGAAAATATTAAAAAATATATAAATTCCCAAAAGCAAACCTTGGTTTTGAAATTTTATATAAGGAACACCATTTTACTAGGCCATTGTATTTAATGGCATCCACAGATTTTGGTATCCATGGTGGGTCTTGAAACCAGGGCCCAGTGGATGCCAAGGGCCCACTGTGGTAAGAAATTGAAAAACATTAACCATAAACAGTGCATTTAGTCTATTTTACATTATCCATTGCAAGTTCTTTGGTTATTTTAGAATCTTTATCTCTTACTCATATACTTATCTGTCTGTCCACAACCACCATTGTTATCTAGTAAAGATAATATTGAAAACCACCAGTTTTCAATTGCTATCTTAACTAGTAACTTTATCCTTCCAAAATGTAGGATTGCATACTGAGTGTATTCTGATCTGTGGGTCTTGTATGTCTGGAATAAAGGGAAAGTACATTTCTAAGAATGAGTCTTGCTTGTTCACATCTCTTTAACCAAACAATTAAGTTATTTCAGTTTGGCAGGAAGTGACAAACTTTGGAGTTTTTTTTGGAAACCATTCATACCCAGTGTACTCTTTGTTTGTTTTTTGCTGTCGTGTTATAACTATCCTTACTTGTTATGTGCCTTCAAGTCCACACCAGTTTTCTTGGCAAGATTCATTCAAAGGAGGTTTGCCATTGACTTCCTTAAGGCCAAGAGTGTGTGTGATGTGTTTGAGGTCACCCAGTAGGTTTCTGTGGCTGAATGGGGATTTGAACCCTAGGCATAGTAGTCCATCACTACTTCATCACAATGACTCTTTATAACTATCCTAGCCATTGGTAATAATAAATAAAAGAATCAACTTAGGGAATTGAATATATTTAGCTTGGAGGAGAGAAAACTGACAGGGGACATGATAGCCATCTTTTAATATTTCAAGCAATGTCATATACAAGATGGAGAGGACATATTTTCTACCACTCCAGAGATTAGAATACAAACCAATTGATTCAAGTTGCAAGAAGAGATTCTACCTTCTTTACTGTAAAAACTGTTTGACAGTGGAATAGACTGCCTCAAGATGGTTTGGGAGGTGTGTGTGTGTGTGTGTGTGAGAAATCTCCTTTGGAGGTCTTTAAACACAGGTTGGATTGGTATATCTTAGGAGTACTGTAGTCATGCGTTCTTGTGTGCCAGGAGGCTGGTCTAAATGGCCTTTGTGGCCCCTTCCAGTTCTAAGAGTCTATGACTCCGTAATGCTAACTCTTTATATAATAAAAAGCTTTGGGGTGTCATTACACTATAGAGAAGGGCTACACTGGAGTGTTATGGGTGTTGTTTTCTTGTTTGGGATATGTATTTGAAAATGGTAGTCGCATATACCTATTCGCATTCA